TAAGTTTTCAAACTACTCCAGAAGGAAAATAAAAGAACGGTATTTGATGTTCCAGCTTTCACTATGAAAACGTGATGCAAGTATATGCTTATCGAGCGCATATTCCACAGATCTAAACCTACGAGACTTCTTGCTGGTGCTAAAAATGAAATATTAACTATACAACATTAGATTCAAGAGTTGTAATTGTATATTGCACATGCTTTGAGCAGTTATTAACAATCTTCTAAGATTCATTCCAAACTTGACTTCCACAAGCGATCTTAATCGGATGCATCAGTGCACTGTTAATAAGGAGTGATATCGTGGAAAATCACAATAGAAACAGTCATTGAATATTTGGGTGTAGGGTGTGGGTGGATGTGGGGTGTGGGTGTGGATGTGGGTGTAGGTGTGAGTATGGGTGTGGGTGTGGGTGTGAGTGTGGATGTGGGTGTGGATGTGGGTGTAGGTGTGAGTATGGGTGTGGGTGTGAGTGTGGATGTGGGTGTGGGTATGGGTGGGGGTGGGGGGGGGGGTGGGGTGTGCGTGTGCGTGTGACTCTTCTCTTTAATCACATCCACATTCAAACCCGCCCACACCCACACCCACAACCATACCCACACCCAGATCCACACCCACATCCCACACCCACACTCACACCCATACCCACACCCTTTCCCAAATGGCTCATGATGTTTTCGATCCCTTAAAATAACAAAAGAAAAACTAATTAAGCAAACTTAATGTCACTGTAGTTGAGAGAAGAACTTTTTGCATGCGCCATTATACATATGATGTTATATTATGGACCCTCACACCCTTCGTGGTAGAAAAGAGTTATCTTGATTATTGTAAAGACAAATTTAAGTAAAATAAAAGAGCAGTTACAAAAAACGAGAGGAGTTGATGTGCATACACTAACATTTCGAATTTTTGTCATTTAACTACTGAAGAGTATATTTCACTAATACTTTGAGTTTTTTTTCTTCATTATTTCGAAAACAAGAAAAGAAATAAGAA